GTTAGTTACAGACATTATAAAGGTTAGTTACAGACATTATAAAGGTTTGTTACAGACATTATAAAGGTTCGTTACAGAGATTATAAAGGTTAGTTACAGACATTATAAAGGTTAGTTACAGACATTATAAAGGTTAGTTACAGACATTATAAAGGTTAGTTACAGACATTATAAAGGTTAGTTACAGACATTATAAAGGTTTGTTACAGAGATTATAAAGGTTAGTTACAGACATTATAAAGGTTAGTTACAGACATTATAAAGGTTCGTTACAGACATTATAAAGGTTTGTTACAGAGATTATAAAGGTTAGTTGCAGAGATTATAAAGGTTAGTTACAGAGATTATAAAGGTTTGTTACAGAGATTATAAAGGTTTGTTACAGAGCTTATAAAGGTTAGTTACAGAGCTTATAAAGGTTAGTTACAGAGCTTATAAAGGTTTGTTACAGACATTATAAAGGCTCGTTACAGAGATTATAAATGTGTTTTGGACTCTATAACTGAATCTCTGACTGTTTCACAGCCGATACATTCAGGATCTTCCCCTGACCTTCATTTTTGGGATCGCCACGTCGCCCAGCACCATCCAGCACATGCTGCCTCACTCTGTGTCCTCGCTGCTGTGCATCGAGCTCTTCCAGTCCCTGTCCTGCACCCAGCACCTCACCACTGTCATCGACAAGGTCCTCTCACCTCAGCATCCAATCAAGAGTTGCACAAATATGATACTGTAATATTTTTAAAGCTCGTGTAACATTAGTTGCTCTGCAGGGCAGGTTAGATGAGGGAAAGAGATCTTGATGTATTCGAAGCTCCTGGGAAAAAGCTAAACAAAGTGAATTAGATGCAAATGCTAAGAAATAAACTTTAACATTTGTACTTGATATTTGTATTTCAAATGTTAAAGAGCTTTTTTTTTTTTTGTTAAATTAATTTGTTTTAATTTTCCTCTAGCTGATCCTGACGCCTTCATTCCCCTTCAAACTCAGTGGAAAAATGATGCAGGTGCTGATGAGCATCTTCCTTTATCACGATTTCTCCGTCAGGAACTTCATCAAGGGCCTGCAGGTGAGGACAGGTGTCGCGCTGCACGTAGCTCAGCCGTGTGAGCGCAGGAGAGGAAAACTTTTCTCTTCTTGTCGTCGCAGCTGGCCCTGCTGGAGCACTTCCACACGCAGCCTCTCAGCGTGTTGTGCTGCAGAAAGAAGAACGCTCTGCAGAACGTGACGCAGCTCGGTCGCAGAGACCTGGAGAGGATCAGGCAGCTGCCGTCATTCAAGAGGTGCCCACACAAGATTCTCCGCTTGCTCTTTGTTTCCTAACTTGTTTAACGTTACGGGGCGGTGATGGAACGTCTCTTTAGGGCTGGTTTTATGGATTTGACTTGAGCGCTTCCATCGTGTTTGTCTGTCTTAGATATGTAGAGGAGCAAGAAACACAAGAGCAGGACAAGCTGATGACGGACGACAGTCATTTAAAGGTTTGTTGTAGTTTCTGCTCATTTGTGTATGTTCATGCTCTCGCTGAGGTTCTTCTGGTTTTTTTAGGACGTTTGTCAGGAACTGATTAAAGACCTTCATAAATACCACAAGAGCTATTATCCCATCCTGCGGTGTCTCCACACCCTGACCTCATCGTTACCTCGGCATCCTCTCGGGAAACAGGTGAAAAGTCACCAGGTTTTTATTTTTAATTTTGTATAGAGTCCTGTTTTAACAGCGGGTTGTGTTCCAGATCAGGGAGCTGCATTTGATTTGTCTGGAGAAGAACGTGTGGGAGTCTGAGGATTACCAATCTGCCATGAAGCTGTTAAAGTAAGTCTTAAAAGTTGAGCCACAGAACTTTTTTTAATTGTATGTAAAAGTTGATTTTTTTCCATTCTACCTCGGCTGTTGTGGCATATTTTCACCACTAGATGGCGCCAGATTGAAGAATATTCTGAGGGTTATTTTTCCTCCTAGTGGTGATTTTTTAAATTATTTTTATTTATTTTTCCAGAATGTTGGCTAAAGATGAGCTGAAGTCGTTGCTTCAGAAGTGTGCAGAGATATTACAACCTGCCGCTTCAACAGAGATTACAAATGCTCTCGCCCAGCTGGAAGAACTCGTCTCCAAATTCCAACATCTGGACGGTCAGTCGTGAAACTGTTCAAAACAGGTTTTTTATTATTTAAGTTTGGTACAGTATTTATTACTAAAAGGAGTAAGCATTTAATTTATTTTTTTTTAATTTGTTGCCTTACTGCAGCTGCTGCTGAAGTGGCGCCTAACGTCGAGGAAACCGTCGCCTCTTCGGTGAAAACCCTCCAAAAGAAAACCGATCTGTTCCAGCTGAAGAAGGTAGCTCACCTTTTATGTCCAAGGCTGACTTGTTTGTGCATTTTTTTTATATTCTAATTGAATTTTTTCAATGAAGAAGGGAGTGAACGTCTCTGTACAGCTGGTGTTACAACACTTTTATGATCCTGGTTTCAGACGCTGCTGGAGATGAACGAGTCTCGTAGATCCAAGAGGAGGAGTCCGTATGAAACTCTGAGGAACGAAGCCCTGGAGTTTATCGACACTTTAGTGAAGTAAGAAAATAATCGTTTCATGTGCATGGAAGTGACTTGAAACGGGATTAAAATGCTGATTTCTTCCATCCAGGAGTTCTCTGTCTCCGCCCGAGTCCAAGCCTCTGTTTGAAGTCTGCTACTACAGTTCGTCTGCCGCCGTGAGACGCCACCTCAACGCTACGCCCCGCACCTCCATTCAGGCTGCTCTCAGCAGCCCCTTCCATTACCTTCAGGTATTCCTCATCCGGTCGAGTGAGCATCACCGACAACGGCAGGAGGAGTTAAAATTATTATTTTGTGCTGTTTGGGAATGATGGGGAAGAGTACAAACTGTTTAAATTGAAGCGTATAGCTCCTCTCAGGAAGTTTTATTTATTTTTTTCAGAATGACCGACTGAAGACGGAGGATGGAGCGGTGTCTAATGCTGCTCCAGATATCTGCATTGCTTACAAGCTCCACCTGGAGTGTGGCCGGCTCATCAACCTCTGCGACTGGCTAGAAGTGAGTTTTCTGCTCAATTATAAAAATAACAAAAGACACTTAAACACTTGTCAAACTATCCTGTTCTAAGTTTTTGTCCCGTGTCTTAACTTTAAAATGAAACGTCCAAATTATACTCCATCCAGTAATGCGGCTCAGTTGGGAATAGTGTGGTGCAGTGTGGACAAAATATTAAAAACTGCAATAAATATAAAACGGTGGTGTTTTGATGACACGGATGAGAGAATGCAGCCCTCTTTGGAGCTCTGGAGCTCAGACTTAATAGAAACATCATTCAAGCTTAAACTGGTCACATGACTGGCTTTTTGGTGTTTTTACCAGTTTTTACCCAGTCACTGTTTAATAAAATACACTCTACAATGTTCAAATCTCTTCTTACCCCCACAACTCTTATTGGTACTTGTATATTAAAGACGACGGCACTTTACCCAGACCGTGCCTCGCGGCTGTGAGACTTTATGGTTTGGTCTCAGATCCCTCCAGAATACAAGAAGTCTCAAACTTGCACAGATTCAGAAATATTTTTATCTTAATTTTCTCCTGGAAACTGGAAGTGGAGGGTCTTTAAGTTGCGTAAAACACGTTGACATGTGCCGCGCGCTTCAAGAATCTCTCGCATTTGACTTGTCGTTTCCGCACGGCGACTAGTTTGAATCCAAGGCTTACTTTTCCATTCGCGTTTTCGCCCGCTTCATTAACTTGGCCGAGTGACACGGGAGCGTGGTTTCCATGGTAACCATAACGAGCAGCAGCTTGAACGTGTTTTTTTTTTTTTAAATCTTGGTTCTCATACATGTCAGGATTTTTTCACCTTTTGCTTGGATTGCTCCAAAGTCATTTTGGGCAGCACCTACAGTTGTTTCAGACGTTCTAGTTCATATTAAGCTCAGTACATAATTATTTAGTTGTTTTTTTTGGGGGGGGGGGGCAGTCTTAAAAAGAGCTGATAACTTTGTTTTTGTTCAGTGTTTTCTTGACCTCGCAAGCTTAAAGCACGTTTTGCCTTTTTTAAATTCTTTTATTTTTATCTTTCTGTTGAAAAGGCTTCATTGATCCCGAGAATCCAAGTATCAAAATATTGATCAGCGGCTGACCTGAAACATCACACGTCTGAAATGTGCCTGTTGTTTTTCAGGCTTTTGCCACGGTGGTCTCTGCTGCGGAGGGCAACGATCCAGACTTGGACAGCGTTGGCAAAGTAGATGAAGTCGTGCAGTATCCTTTTAACAACCTACTGTTACAAGTGCTGTTCCCCCCAACTCACTCGTTTTAGGTTCGACTCTCAGGACTGCAAGTAAGAATAAAAAAGAAGCAAACTGTCTTTATTTTATACAGCGGTCCCTCGCTACTTCGCGGTTCGTTTATCGTGGACTCGCTCCATCACATTTTTTTTTCCAGTAGAAGATTGGACATGACGCACAATTGGCTGATTGATGGAGGAGCTGCACGATCGGCATGAATTTTTCATTTAAAATGAATTATTTTAAATTATTTAGCACCTGCTGCAGAAAAACGCTTCCTCCTGCACATCTGTGCAGCCCACAGTGCAGGATGAGCTTCCTGCAGCTGATCAGCTGTTTTCCGTGCAGAAAAGTGGGCGTGGCCAAGAGCGCTTGCAGGTGGTAAAGAGCAGAGGAGGCAGGGAGCTGAAATGTTGGTTTATTTTGTGTGTAGTACTGTTTTATACCCACCGGATGGCAGTATAGGACTGTTTGAACCAAAGGATGGATAGTGAGGGAGCGAGCAGCGTGTCTCTTTGAGGGAGACTCCTTGATGTGACATGAGCTGTCTCGCTTTCCTTATTTTCTGGTTCTCAAAATTGTGGACGCTCGTGTGGTTTGAGCTCTTTAGCGTAGCATTTGTCACAAAGCTTTTAATTAAAAAATAAATCCGTAAACAAGTTCTCAGGTTCTTTTTTGCAGAGAAAAACAACTTTTTACACAAAGGCACGGGTTTCAGTCGCAAATTTTGGAGCTTTGACGAGACGGAGGTTTTTTTACCCGAAGGTCGGCCTGTTAGCATAGCTCGTAGCTTAGCTGCTTGTAGCGAAGAGAGAAGAAAAGAAACGATAAAGCCGATAAATGAAAATGAGGTCGATAATTTTATCATGCGATTAATTGATTTATCGTGACAGGCCTATTTAGAAACATTGTTTAGAATATTGCAAGAGTGTAGGAAGGGTTTAAAATGCCTCATCTATATATAAATACTAAAATAAACTACTTACTACTTGTACTACTAGTAGTACAACCATCACTGCTCCCAACAAACTTGTATTAAATACATGCTGACCTCACTCACTCTGCCTATACTACTGGAAATAGTCTGCCATTCTCAATGCTCAATACATATTATTATTATTGTTTATCTTCTTTCATTATTTATATTTATATATATAATTTTTCCTTTTTTTTTTTTTACATTTTAGGAACTTTTTGTGCCATTTATAAAAAAAAAAATGTATCCGTTGCTGCCGTTACACTTGGAATTTCCCGTCCGTGGGACAATAAAAGGCTGTTTCTATTTTTACGTCAGTTTTCCACTTATCGCGGGGCTTCAGAGTACAGATCCCCCACGATAAACGAGGGACTACTGTACTGTAAAATCTAGATATTTGTGCTTGAGGGACAAGAAGTTCATCTCATGTAGTACTTATGAAACGAAGTCCATCAACCAAAGTGCCGAGCAGCTAAAATATATCATGTAACCTGAAAGAAGCAGTTGGTGACATTTCACTGAACTCTGACTTGTTTTCTTCAGTTTAGTTTTCCAGAGACTGATAAGAACAAACATGTTTGCTCTTTAAAACGTTAACACTCCTTGACGGCAGACGTGGTTGATCTGATTTCCAAGAAACCAAGCAGAACAATCTGAAACCTTTTTGCTCCTTAAACTCGTTTCCCAGCGCTCGCTTCATCCGCGCAGTGTCCGAGCTCGAATTTCTGGGCTTCATCAAGTCAACGAAGCAGAAGACCGACCACGTGGCTCGACTCACCTGGGGCGGCTGTTAAAGACGTCCCTCAAAGGAAAAAGAAAATCCCATTTCAAGTCGTGCTGATTTAGATTGTTCTAATAAAACATGTTTATTAAGCACTTGTCTGTGTTTTCTGTTACTGAAAGTGAAACTATAATCGGGTGTTGATGTCATTTTATTCGCAGAAGGTAAAGAAACTGCAGCATGGCTGAGTGACAGACAGAAACAGCTCAAACAACAATAGTGTGGTTAATTAAAACTAAAAATATTCAGGATATTCTTGAATGGAAAACTGTCGTGGGATGATTCAATCACTCAAAACCTTCGGAGGGAAAACAAAAAGCCAGACTTGCACAGAACCTTTTATAAAAGGTTACATTTGTTGTGCTGACGAGCAAACATTAAGATTTTTAACTAAGTTTTTGTCTTAATGTTTTAAAGTGATACCAGCGGGGGAGGGAATGATAGAAATACTAATGTGGGGTGGGGGGGGGGGGAGCAAAAGTAGCGTCCAGTTTGTTTAATTTAGAAAATGGAGAACGCACTGCAAACTTGAACTTCTTTCATTTTCTTTCAGACTGAGCAGCAAATCTTGTAAAACTCCACTTTTCCCATTATGTACGTGTAACAAACAGAAGTGACAAAGCCTGGAATGCTGGAGTCATTACAAAAGTGAGATAAGCTGGAGGAACATAGGTCACTGGTAGAGACGGGGTCCATTCACTTACATCAGGAAGCACTTACAACAAACTGCTCCAAACCTCCGCCCGGAGACAAAAGTATATGGCACGGTAAGAAAAGTTTCATTTGAGCTAGCTAAAATCAAATCTCTTAAAACGAGGAACTTTTCTTTAATGCATCACAGGGCAGCTTGCAACAAGAGAAGGCCTTCTTGCAAAGCTTCGGTGCCACACTCAGGAAACATCTGGAGGAGAGAGGGGAGACGAAAGGCAACACAGACGTGTTAGCTGCAGCCGTGCCAGGGAATCCGCAACGAGCGAAAGCCAAAGTATCAAAAACTCACAGCTTGCAGGCTGCTCGCCGAATCGTCGCATCAACTGATCGTGTGTGAACTTCACGAAGGTGTCGTATTGTTCTGCAACGTAAAGAACAAGCCATCGGTGTCGACACGGATACAAAAAGAAACGTTTTCATTCCTGGAGCTGTCGCCCTTTTGGTCGAACCTGGAAAGTGAAGTTCTGCACCATACTGCGCTCCGTACCTGATGCGAATGGCTCTCGGCTACTACGGCTCCCTGCTTCACCTACACCTCAAGGATAAGGGACACTCAATTGAGGACCAGATGTTTAAGGATTCAATGACCTTTATTTGTGAATTTTTTTCACATTTTGGAGCAAGACAGATGGTTTGAGGGGTGTGTGAAGGAAGCCATTTATGTAAAATGAGACAAACCATCTTTGAACAGAGGAGGTCTCAGCTTTCCAAAACCTACAGCCTGACACTCAGCCATGTCACCAGAGTGATCCTACGTACCTCTATTGTGAGGACTGATAGGTCAATCTGCATATGTATCTAGCTTAGCTCAGCTTTATAACTCGAACCCCACACTCTCCGCTCTTTGAATTGAGAAAGCTTCTCGGACGAGAAGCCAAACATCTTCTGTTACAAATAAAGTCCAGTTGTGAATTATACCATGTCCTGGATGACTGAGAATCTTCAACTTCTCAGCTACTACGTCAAATTTTAGCTCAACATCTGTAAAAGTGAATTATATATATTTTTGCGTTAATTAATGTTAAGTAGCTGTGGCAGCCATCTTCAATCCGACTCCAAACGTTGACCAGTTGCGGATGTTTATCCAACGATTTCTGCACATTTCACAGAAATCAGTCGAGTTGTTCGTGATATATGTTGGCAAAACATGAAACGACACAAGAAAAACCATTTAAAAACATTCATGTAATAAAAAGTTGATTACATTTGCTCCAAGCAAGGACAGTACGATTGAAGTATTTGCTTGAGAAATAGCAACGCTGACATTTAACAGGTTAGAAACATATTTTATCAGAGTCAGTTTCTTTATTTGTCATTCGCACCACATGTACATGAGGTGGAACGAAATTGTACACGGTGTCCCAGTTACATCCAACAATAAAAAGGTAAAAGAAAAACCGTAATAAGATCTAAGATGTGAACTAAGAAAAATGCCAACTAAAAATATGCTAAGCGCTAATAGCATAAAAACAATACGCCAAATAGCAGCATGATATAATATACGGTGCATTAAGTGAAACTAAAACATTCTGATTTTTGAGAAAATTAAAGGATTTTAAGTGCCTTATAGTCTGAAAAATACAGTAATATGATGACATCAGTGTTTATTAATTAATTGACATTAAATAGAACATGTCACGTGGTGGTAGATTTACAAACCTGCCAGCTTCGAGGTCATGGTCTCCTCGTATTCCTCCCGCACCTTCTCCTCTCTCTCCTTCAGCAGGCGCTCGCAGATCATTCCAACTTGTCTGAGAGTGAACAGCGGTTGTTCTTTCCTGGTTGGAGAGACGCCACCTGAGGATGTTCCTGTGAGGGGACAAACGGGATTAGGTTGTAGATGATGATGCAAATGATTCCAAGAGCTTTTCGGTCTGCGCCTTCACCTGGCATGCTGGACACGTTCATACACAGCTGGGACGGGGATTCAGGAGAATAGCAGCACTCTGAATGTTGGTAGCCTCCATCTAGATGCTTCCTCTTGTGAATGCGTTTGTACTCTTGTTTGATGCTGCTGAGGATTTGTTCTAGCGAGTCAAAAAATAAAAACAGGATGAAGGTTCATCAGTCTGGTTTTAAACTGTGGCTCAACATGGGAGGCGAGTGCCTGGGGCTAACTTGGCCGACGACTGAAGCACATATACCTGCGCTAAGTCTTGAAGACGACTGTCCAAAAGGCGAGGGCTCCATGCTCAGGTATTTCCTCGGGGATGAAGTCGATGGGGCCACAGGAACGCACCTCCGTCTTTTGGGGGACGCAGGACTCATGAGCGGATCAAAATCCATGGTCCTCTTCAGGGTCGCGCCGCACGCCATAACTTTAACTTGTCAAAAGATGATTGAAAATACCAAAGTAAGACAAGGAAAAGGCGACAACACCACATGAGAGCTGTAAAATGTCTCCCCCATTAGATTTGTTCCGCTTTGCCGAAGAATACGTGTTGAACGTGAATGTAACGCTCATCTTTCCTAGAAGCTATCGTTAGCTTTCACTAATAATCAAAAAGAAAACAAAGCTAACGCGAGCGAATATCGCTGAATCAAGTAAACTGTGCTTTTGAATGAACATTTCTGTTACCTTTGTCGTAGAAAGCAGGTCGCTCCGGTAGCGTTTATAAAACTAGTGTCGCTGTTGAAGTTGTTTTTCAAAAGTTAAAGGGACGAGCAGCCAGCTGCGGGCCAATTATCAGCCGTGAGATAGGACGCTAGCTAACGCTGCTTAGCAGCCTGTTTGTTGATCCCAGGCTGTCGGCTTCTCCGGCTCGTCACGTGACGCGCCCAACACGAACGCAAAGCGTTCTGGGTTATGTAGTTAACCCTCACAAACGTTACAAAATAACCCGACGCAGCCTAAATAAAGCAACAATTATCTATATATTTTAATTGATTTTTAAAATACTGCCTCGTAGTAGGCTATTTGATAGGATTTTCCCGTTTTGTTCCCAGTTTTTCCAGCTTTAATTGATTTCTGATTAGTTCCACCAGAGGGCAATGTTACACATGCAAAAAGCTAAAATAAAAAATATTTCAATAATTATAATAATAAAGTGTTGATTCTTTAAACAGGTTAGGAGGTAACTAAACTGGAAAGGGGGAAAAAAAAAACATTAGGCAAAACTTATGCACGCATTGAAATAAATACAAAAAAAAAGCCTAAATCCAAAATGTAAAATGTTAAAAGCAACAAAATAGAAAATATAATGTAATTTTTTTTCTAAAAACCATAAAAACATAAAAAAGAACGTTACAAAAACACAAATGCTGCAATTGTTTATTCAAGTGATGTTGATATGTTTCATCAACTAATTAAATTATCTCTACTGGCAAAATGAGACACTGGGGAGTTTTACAGGACAGTTAATAATGTTTTACATCTCAAAAGCTTTAAAATGTATAGTTTGTTCAAATACGGTATTTTATCACCTGGCAACAAGCTGCATTTGTTTATGAGGCCCCGGATGGAAAACTCAATTTTTGTTGGTTTTGTTAAAGTTTATTTGAAATGTCAGTTTCATATTTAAAAAGGGAAATCCTCAAGCTTCACAATGATGCCAACCATTATATGAAGGGATTTCCCAGTGCTAATTCAACCAGCAGACCAAAAAAATGTCATCTTCAATGGAAAGAGTAAACAAAAACATATTTTTGAAGACTCACTTGTTAGAAAAATCACAAGTATGAATCACAGCTTTAAAAGCTTGTTTTAATTATTATTAACAAAACTGACGAGGAACTGGTTTGCTGAGTTGTTGTTTTTATTGTAAACCGTGGCACATTGACATAAAAGTGACAAAAATAGAGTAATTCACATATTTACAAAGGACGTCTTTTTTTGCAGACACACTGTGGAGAGACACAATGTCACAACTCGTATTTCACAGCAATGTGGTAAACAGTTTTACGCACAAAAAGCTGTTCTGCAAAAAAATTACCAAAAGAAATGCAGCTATGTTACATTTCAATAATATTACACGTAAAGCTTTGAATGGATCAAAAACCTCAACAACAACAACAAAAAAATCCAACAAAATTAATCATAATTAATAAATAAATAAATAAAAATAGCACTTGTCAAAGTTCATAACATTACAGCATGAATATTATAGCAAGAAAATAAAAACACAATAAAATAGGATAAATAAAAATTATTAAAATAAAAAATCATTGTGCTTTAAAGCAAAGCAAGATGCCCCGTGATGGACTGGAGACGTGTCCAGGGTGTCCCCCCCTCTTGCACAGTGATAGTTGGACATGGACACCAGTGTCCCCATTGATGCAAAAGGGAAGAAGCGAGTGAAGATGATAGATGGATGGATGGATGAATGGATGGATGGATGGATGGATGGATAATTTATGTGAATGATAAGAGTTCTTTATGTGTGACCATCATTTACTGAAACAGACAACAAAATCAGAGCTCATCACTTTGCACTGAATGTTTTTATCACAGATTTCATCCTGAAACTCAGTCCAGGGGTTCATTTCAAGCCCTTTTTGGCACATTTCACACTAACAGGCTGTTCACTAACAGGCTGTTCACTAACAGGCTGTTCACTAACAGGCTGGCCTATGGGGCCACAGTTTCAGCAGAGCAGCCCATCTCAGATGGGTTCTGCTGTGGAGGTCTCCGTACCTCCGGACAGGGTGACCTGGGCTACTTTTACCCGGGTTTGCCTCGGGACGCTGCCATCTCTCCCCGCCCAGCCTCTCACACTCCTGCTGTTCCAGTCGCTCTCAGCGCTGCTGTCCAGTGTCTGCGTGGCCCCTCGCCAGATGCTGATGAAGGCCCTCCGCAGGTCTTTGCTCCTCATGGCGTAGATGACGGGGTTCACGGTGGAGTTGAGCAGGCACAGCATGCTGCAAAAGGCAAACACGGTCTTGATGAAGTCGTTGACTTTCCCGAAGAGGTCGTACACCATGATGGTGAGGAGCGGGCCCCAGCAGATGATGAGCGCCACCAGGATCAGGACGAGGGTTTTAGCCAGACGGAGGTCCATCCTGGCCTGCTCGGGCCTCACCATCTGGACTTTGGCTCCTTCTGGCGTGTGGACGATGATGCTCCTCTGCGAGCTGCGGCTCAGCATGCGCACGGCATGGTGGTGCGACTTCCACAGGATGAACATGTAGGCGTAGATGATAAATAGGACCAAGATGCTGGTTATTCCGATCCAGAACATCAAGTACTTCTGGTCAATCAGGGGGAAGATGTCTGAACAGACCGAGCCGAGGCGCTTGCAGTTCCAGCCGAGCAGCGGCAGCAGTGAGATGACGATGGAGATGGTCCACATCACGCTGAAGGCAATGACCGCCTTAGTCTTTGTGACGATGCGCTTGTACGCCAGCGGCCTGTGGATGGATATGTAGCGGTCGATTGCAGTCAGGAACAAACTGCCCACAGAGGCCGTGTAGGAGGCGATGACCCCCGCCAGCTTGAAGAGGAAAACATCTGGGCTGTCCTTTCTGTGGAGGACGTGAAAGTCCAGGAAGCTGTACACAAAAATGATGCTCCCTATCAGATCGGCCACAGCCAGGCTGCCTATGAAGTGGTAGGACGGCCGCGAGCGGAGAGTCTGAGCGTGGAGGATCACACACAGCACCACGAGGTTCTCCAGCACAGTAAAAGTTCCCAGGGTGAGCGCTAAGACGGCTATAACCAGCTGCTGACTGGGAGTGAGGATCATGAAGCACTCCAAGTTCTCCGCAAAGTTCTCCGTGCACTGCGCTCCTCCTCCGCTCCCCACAGACGTGGCGTTACCCAACAGAGCGTCGGACGTGTTGGTGGGGAAAATGGGCGAGAGAGCCGTGAACATGACGTCCTGACGTCCAGGGATGAGCTCCAAGGAGTTCCTGATGGAGGCGGCGAGCGGTTTATCCAGGTGGAATCTGCTTTTGGCCACGCTGGACTCGACGAGGAGCTCGTCGTAGCTGGCGTCGTTGGAGCCAAGATACCGGACCCCAGTTGTCAGCGTGCTCACTGTGGTGCTGGTTATCCTGTGCAAAGCCAGCTTCATGGCTGCAGAGTCGCTCAGAGGAGAGGTGCGCACTGAAACGTCATTAGACGTGGATCTACGAGGACAAGAGGACATTTTTTATCATTAGAATGCAGAAAAAAAAACATGTACGTTCCAAGTATCAATGCCATGTGTAAAACAAATGGTCTAATATTCTCTCAAGAAATATGCACATGCCCCACAGCCTTTGATGCCAAACAGTAAAATTAAGATCATTTTATAGTAAAAGAGACAGTTACACCCCCCCCCCCCCCCACACACACACACACAAAGAGCATTACATTCACTTCCTGTCAAAGCTTTATCAATTCACAAAATGTGTGGAGTGTCAAGCTTTAAGTGCACGAGAAGCTTCGTTCTGTTAGACTCACATGCAGATTCGATAAAAACTGCACCCCCTCACGGTGTGTGTGTGTGTGTGTGTGTGTGTGTGGGGGGGGGGCATTCGTCAAATCTTTGAAACACACCACAGAACAAACACAGAAACAATGTCATCCCATACGTGACAGGACTCAGCGGTCCACACCTCAAGAACGAGACCTTTGAAGACCTAAATGTTTTGAGCAGAGCGTCAAGCCTGATACAGTCACCATGTTGTGATGAGAACATCTCTCCGTGGCACTAACGAGCCACAGAAGAGACGTTTATTTATTTATTGATGACTGACAATGAAAACCAACACGCAGAGTTATGACCATTGTGGTCATCCCTTAATGATGTTGTGCAGAATTTCCTAAAAAAATAAAAAAATAAAAAAAAATAAATTAGAGCTCAAAGCATTAGCAACTTCCATGCTAAATTTGACCAGATGTGTAAAACTGACAGTGGCGGCCATCTTGGATTGGTGTAAATTGGTGATTACTTTATGAAAATATGGTTCAGGAGACATTTTGCTAACAGACAAAGAGGTATAACTTCACAAGTTGAGACAACATTTGAAGCACATGTGCAATTTGTAGTGTTGTGAACAACTCTCAGCTACTACCACACCAAATCTTTGGTAACTATCTGTATAATTGGTGAGTTATAGTAATTTTTAGTTTTCTTAGATCAGTAGGCTGTGGTGGCTATATTAGATTGGGTTGACTCCAAAAGTGAATCTTGTAGAAGTACCTCTGATAACTTTATAAAAGTTTCATTGATATTCATACAATAGTTAAAGACATATTTTACTAACAGACGTATAGTGTTGACTCCAACAGTTAAGGTAAACTTATAAGAAGAAAGTACAATCAGTTAATGCTTAGAGTACAGGTTGAGGATCAGGCTCAGCTACTAACTCACCAAATCTTAGCTCCACTTGTTTAAATTTGACCAAGTTATTGAGATTTTTGTGTTAGCTAAACTTAATTAACTGTGGCGGCCATCTTGAACCGGGTTTACTCCAAATTATAAACATTTATACATATACACCTAATGACTACTTCCTGAGAGTTTTATTAAAGCCCGCTCCGTGGTTCATGAGATATTTTGCTAACAGACGCACGTGCGCACATGCGGCATTATCGTCCTTTTGAGTTCAGCGCGGTGTAAATCTGATCTGTGGATCATAACCAGATGCATCCCAGACAATACTGGGAAAGTGAACAGTTGATTAAACCTGTTCCCCGCGACACCCCCCCCCCCCCCCCAGAGAGAAGCATCACATTTTAATCTGATTAATTAAAACAGGTCATAAGGCATTAATGGTTATAATAATTAGAGACGATGGGAAACTGAAAAGAGTCAGCATGTCCGACTAATGAACCAACATCATTTGGAGACCTGATGATGATAACAATTATTCATTATTAACAATTATTAATATTTAATTACATGTATCAACTCATCAGTGGGGAAACAAAAATAGGGAAATACTTACAAGTTAGAATTCTAATAAATTAAAACATTAACATTTATTATAGAGTGGGTATTTAAAATACAAACCTTAAATGTTTTGTTCTTGCAGTCCATCCCGCGAGGAAAAACAAAACAACAACAATAATAATAATGATAATAATAATATAATAATAATAAACTTTTTGAACAAGAGTGAAAAGTTGTAATTCCAATCAAGCTGGCGGTGAGTGAGAATTTTTAGTTACATAGTTAAAAATAAGAAGTAAAATCAAAAACAAGTCTCCTCACAGAGAGCCGGTGAGTGTGAGCGTCTGTGCGGGAGCGCGCGCGGTTATGCTGCTGCTCTTTGTGCGCGCCTGCCTCCCTGGTCACGTGGTGCGAGGTGTT